GTGTGTGTGTGTGTGTGTGTGTGTGTGTGTGAATACTCTCATTTGGTTACTGATCATTTGACTAATAGCTGAAGGTACAGGGCAAAATCAGTGAAATATATTGGATTAGAGGAAATGTGGTTTCTTCTGAGCATCATGTGGATTTTTTCTAAAAAAGATTTCACTGTTTTTGTTTCAGTGCCATTTAGCCAGCCAGAAATAAGTGGTTACAGTAGTGCCACTTGTGATGGACCACCAGGAAGAAGTCCAGAGCTTGCAATCCATAGGGGCCTCCCCTGCAGCTATGATGTGACCAGTAGCTTAGTCCAAAAAAGAAAAAAAAAAGAGTAGGAAGAAGGAAAGTGAGTACTGGGAAGAAAGGAAGAACAAGAAATATGGGGAGAAGTCAGCTGTATGAATCAATTAATAAACAAAAATAAATTAGGTATGAGAGATTACAGTTAAAGAATGAAGGGGGTCTCTGAACAGGTTTTGCTCAGGTCCTCCTAGCAGCATCATTGATTGGCTACACCCAATATGTGTAGGGAGCTCTTCTTAACTCACCGTCACCCCTACGCTGCCTGGTTCCTTGCCCTCTATCAGCTGGTGAGTGGCCTGCAAAGCCTCATCAGGGGACTTCCCTTTGAAGCGTTTAGCACTCAGCTCTTTTATTGCTTCTTGGAATTCTGGAAATGTGATGTTACGAGCACCCTTGGTCCTGGGAACATATAAGCACATCAACTCCGACACTTAATACAATACAGACCCTGAACAAGGCATCCAAGAATCTACAAAGAAGATAGTGTTATAAACAACACCTGAAGACAACTCTCCCATAAATAAAACAGAAAAAAAAAACCCCACAATTATTTGCAAACAGAAGATGGCATATCAGGAAGGTAACTTCTAGTGCTGATAACATTCTGTTGGATTACAGTACGCTTCTACTAGCATGAAGTTCTTTTTAATCAGCCAGTATAATTAAAGGAAGACAATGGTCCCTTCCTGTAATTGTATCTGGGAATGACCTTGGAAGACAGGAGGAAGACCCGCAGCCTAGACAAAAGACTGAAAAGAGAGGAGGGGAGAAATACTTTCAGTCTTGCAAGACTGATGTCAGCTTTGCAAGGCAAGAAGCACACCCAGATGAACTAATCCTACTTTATTGTAAGGTTAATTAACAGAATCTTACAAGACTGAAAATATTTCTCCCCTCCTCTCTTTTTAGCCTCCAGAAAACAAGGTAAGGTCCCTTCTAAAATGCTTCCCGTGCTTTTCTCCCACCTGCGAACAGAGCTGTGTCTTATTGCCTAGGCTGTGGGTCTTCCTCCTGTCTCTCAAGGTCATTCCCACATACCGCTACACTTCAACACAATTCTACTGACTCAGAACACCACATTACTTTGCTTCCTGAATAGATCTGCCCTCAGCTATTTATGATTACACGCATGGGTTTTCTGCCAGCTCATATTGGCAAGATCCCAGGCACCCCCATGTCATCACCCTGGTCACTGTCAAAGCCCCACAGATTGTGCATTTATGAAGATTTCTATGGGGAGAAGAGGGAAATGCCACTTTAACATTGGATCAGATAAATGAACTGAGGTTGCCTCAACTATGGGCTGGGGATGAGGAACAGGCTGTGTGTTTTGGACATGTCCTTAAGGAATAGCTAGCAAGGCATCTCTGAACCACAGTGAAGGGACATGACCATGTGTCTTGAGTGAAACAAAATTATCTGGCTCACAATTTAAAAGGAAGAGAAATATAACAGTAGTAACTCTTTACTTTCACACAAGCCTTATTGAGGTTGGATGCTTGTCCACAAATATATATACACACACACCAACCCTTCAGCTCACTTGACTTTATTGAAGACAATGTCCACATCAGTGCTGGTCACAGCTTTGCCATCCATTACACCACACTCTTTCAACATCTTGGAGAAGTTCTTGCCTGTCATGTCATGGCCTGTAGCAGCTGTGTCTCCGTATACGGCAAATTTATGAAAGGCTTTTTCCAGTTCTGACATCCCTCCTGCACTTGGGAAAAGGAAACAAAAGGAGGAAGCAAGAAGACTTGCAGTTGCTTCAAACAGAAGGGAATTAGTTTCATAAGCTCCCCCCATGGCCAAAGCAAGGCCAGGAGGTGACCTAGTTACTAATTATGCTATCAGGGTTTCATAAGAGATCGACCACCTGGATAGCAGTGCAGTAGGAAAGTAACTGAGATTGACAACCTGGTGCCCTCCAGCTGAACATTTCTGAGAGCCCCAGCCTGGAAAATTCTGCAGGATTTGATCCCATATGCATTATGCTCATATACAGCTGTGCACATAACTGTACATTAGTGGTTCTGAAGTGGCAGAAAGTGTCAGAAAAAAGATGAAGCAAGTATTCCAAACTGGAGGCTCCTACAGTGCCCATTCCATCAGGATCTTGAATATTATAGTCCATTAATCGCATTTGGGTATTCCTTCAATCCAAAAATAAAGCTATCAATTTATTATAGAATTCTTATGGCATACAAGGCAACTGAATTATCAGGTGGTATTCAGCAGTAATTATAGTTAGCAGTTACACAAAAATCTTCAACAGTTAAGAGTCTATAGGGAATTTAATAATTCAGTTGAATAAGAGAAAGCGTTCAAAGAAACGTGGGGGAAGCAGGTGATTTTGAGAAGCAATTCACTTTAATGGAGCAAATACAGAGTTCAGCTATAAATGGGCAAAGCAGAAAAATAAAATTCAAAACAAGTAATGTTAAAGCTTCTTGCCACAGTAAAAAATATAGCATTCACACATCCACGTATGTGCTGGGGGGCACTGGGTATCATTTTGGTCCAGAACAGAGAAAAATTACTGATGAGAAAGGAAAAAGGGATTTCTAATTTAGGATGATGGGAGAGAGAGAAAAAAAAAAATATTTACCTTTCTGGGCAGTGTTTGACGTGATGGATGATAGTTTGGCATGTTCTGGATAAAGAAAAAGGGATAGAAAGAAATAGGAAAAGAAAGAGAAATGTTGCCCACTTGAGCAGGAATTCATAGTCTTCTCTTGCCTGATGGTTGAGGGTCATTTCTATACTTTCCTTAGGGAATTTAGCAAATTAAATCAAACTAAATTCTCACTTCATGACTTGGGAAATCATTTTATAAGGTGTCAGGTGGAGAAAAAAAAAATCTTTTCTGATTTCCTGGGCTGAGGGGAGGGAGAAAAGAAAAGCAGGAGGGGGTCTAGCAGAACAGTTTTAGACAGGATTTTGTCAAAGATTTTATAAAATAAAGATTTTACTAAGTGATTGGATTTAGCAACAGAGAGCAGAACAAAGCTGAACAATGGAAAAACAGATTGCTCCAATTTCTCAAGATTTGAGATTTGATTGAGATTTTCATGCTCAGAATCAGAAAACTATATAAGTTCAATCTTCCTCACAATTCCTTTTGTTATAGCAACACAGCAACCTGCAAGAATGTCCAGGAGACCAAAGCTCTCCCATTTCCTCCTATAATCACTTTGATGGACAAATATTATCAGAGTCAGTTAAATTACAACACAGTGCATCAGGCTGAAGGAGTATTTTTCACCAAAAGGGATCACAAACTATTTCTTCTTGGGTTAAAATATGATTAATTAGTACTTATCAACATGATCAATTTCTAATATTGCCTCAGTTTCTAAAGTATCTTTTGCTGCAAGGAAAGATGAAAAGGATGATTTTAAGGGCAGCCAGAGAGTAAACCCAAAAGATAGCAGATAGGAGAAAGGCTGTACTTAAAAAGAGATTCTAATGTGAAAGTAAAATTATTGAAATCATTATCAATGAGGAAAAGCTTATATTTAAATAAGCCATGTTGTAGAAGATGTGTGGATATACATGACAGAATTCAATGTCTGGTCTGGTCATGAATGAAGGATATTGCCAGACAGTGTTGATCCTTAAAGTCATGTCTACTTGGAAGGTCATCCTGCAGTTCTTTTCAATAACTTGGGTCTCATGACTTTGACCAGAGTATTGGGACTTAGGCAAAGTTGAGCCAATTGGGGTGCAGTTGGGGAAGAGAGCAATCAGGTACCATGGGCATGCAGCTGCTATAAAAAAATAGAAAAGAAAAAGCAAATTCCATGCATGATACTGTAAGGAAGGGGACTGAAAATAAAACAGCCAATATACTGTAGTAAAGCCCTTTTATCATCTATGGTGAGACTACTGTACACTTGTCTCTCAGTGTGCAGTTCTGGTTGCCACGTCTAAAAAAGGATTGGTAGTGGTCAAAAAGGTGCAAAGAAATGCAGCTAAACAATTTGGGGGCTACAGCAACTTCCATAAGAAAAAAGACAACATTGCCTGAAGCTTTTTAGGTTGGAGTGAAGGCATGAAAGGAGACATCTCATAGAGCTATATAGAAATCATGCATGATATGGAAAATGTAGATACAAATTTTTCTCCTCTCACAGTGAAAGAATATGGGCTCATCTTTTAAATCTAAAGTCAAGGAGATTTAGGACCGATAAAAGAAGGGTGTATTTTCAAATACCACACATAGTTAATTTGTGGAATCTATGGCCATAGGATTTGGAGATGACATCAGTTCACCAGCATCCACAGGAGAAGATCAAAAAAGGCAAGGTAGAGGAAACAGCACCACAGTCCAACCCATGACCTGCATATATAATAGGAGCAGAGCTTGGATCGTGGTGCTCCTTCCACCATCTCGCCATTTTTGACGCACCCATTCAGAAGGCTTTTAAAAGGAGATGAGACCATTTCATGGAGGACCTGGCTATCAGTGGCTACTAGCTTGATGACTGCTGGGTACCATAGTTCGAATATGAGCTGCTGGACAGCAACAGTGGATGAGGCTATCAGCCTCACATCTGTCTTTCTGAAAATATCTGGTTCCCCATTGTCAGACATTAAATGCCAGATTAGAAACACCACTGGCCCGATCCAGCAGGGCACTTCTTATCTTCTGGTGGACTCCAAAGCATCTGCATAGCCCTAGTGCTAAAGAAAAGCTGTCAAGCACACTTTGATTGGCAGTGTTAGGACTCTCTGGAATAGAGGTATTGCTTGTATATATTGAGGTGTGCTTGTGCAATGTGCATGGTACACCTCATCTTCCTCTAGCATATATATAGTCCCCCCAATGCACTTTTAAATTTTAACAACACTAAAACAGAGTGACTCTTCCAAGTTTAATCTGTGAGTTCCATAGTAGAATGGTAATTTGATTCTGGATCTCATCACTCCTACTACTAATTGTCCAGCATAACCAAGAAAAATAATTCCCCCTCAAACAACCAGGGCAGCATGGTCTATAACTAAATTCCACTTATACAAATAGATGGCCACCCTTTTCCCACTTCCTTAATCCTCTGCACAACTGATAATTGCAAGGGGTATCACATAATTTTAAGTGGAACGGGGGCTCCACTAGGACTCAGAAAGCACCAGTGGACTTTTGACTGTGAGAGGAGCTGGACCCAGTCTGCGTATTTTCTGCCTTCATAACGGTACTAATAAGAATTTTGAAATAGCTGAAAATGGGAGTGGCACAAAATGTGATGCTCTAGCTTTGATAGCCTTGCTTTAAATTTGAGAAAAGAGTCAGCAAGGCATACAGATTTTTCTTCTTTTCTTGTGTGTACATCTTCACTTTCTTCAAGCATTCATGCTGATATCCATGGGTCTTGCTCTTTTTCAATTCATAATAATCATGTAAGGTAGATTGGATAGGAAATGTCTAAGTGTAACCAAGAAAAAATACCTTCAAGACCCTTGGATATGCTAGATTATATATATCATTTCCTGGCAGCAAGGCTGTGAAATAAGTCCAGTAATAACTCCAGTAATAATTTGTTTGAGGTTGGGCTTACCTGAGTTACTAAAAGGCCTTGGGGCCCCTGCCTTACTCTGTCTTGAATATATTCCTCCTAGGAAGGACAAGGCCAGCTCTGAGCCTGAAGCACCAGAGGCTTAGGAGTTTACTTTACAGTAGGAATTGTGACTTTATCAAGTTGTCTATGACATCATGGCTGATCTCACTTTGGTAGCCTGACTGCCTTTCGGCCACAGATGGCCAGTGGCAAGAAATTTGACTAGCTTCAAGATTTCTTGCCATTTCAGATCCAGTATCTTATCATTTTCTAGGAAGAACCTAGAGAAACGTCACCATGATAAAATAAGGTAACTCATCCATAACTGGTGTCATACATCCATGATAATGAAATAGCATTTCAGTGAGTTATAGAGATCTCTGTATGCTAGCTTAAAAACTCTTTGAATATTAATAATATTAATATTAATAATATTATTATTAATATTAATTATTAATAATATTAATAATAAAATATTAGTATTAAGGCAAAATAAACCCTTTTATTTTGGAGGGAAGGATGGAAGGAAGGACAGAAGGAAGGAAGGGTTTTAATTCCGTGTATATAATTGTTCACAATGGTTTATGTTCTTTTATTAATGTCTGTAGTAAGGGGGTTGGGACTTTGCTATGTGAACAGTTAACCTGAAAAAGAGATGGAGGGTGGGAAGAATAAATGGGGAAGGTCAGCTGACAATTTTACTGCCTGCTTCATTATGACCAGTCAGTCTGGGTTCACATATCACACTGCACTCTGTTTAAATGGTGGTTTGTTGAAGAAGCCACTGTGCTTTGCTTTAATCATAATGGTAAGCCATAATTCAGAATGTACTCACTACAGTGACTGGATTCACACATCTCATTAAGTCAAAAGCAAAGCAGACACACAGACAAAACTACTTTGTGTCAACTGGAAATCCATGAGTTCATGATAAATGTTGCGGCTCCAACAAGGTCCTGAACTATCAACCTCTAGCTAAGGACAGGACAGGACAAGCTTGTAAAATAGTTAGGATTATCAAATTTTTTGCAGTAAATAGATGTTGCACTGTTAGTATGACTTTGTTGTTTTTTTTTTTAAGGGTATTTCATAAGTGATGGAATGAAGTGGGTAAAATCAAAAGAAACAAGGCTTTCTGGGATGAATTTGGGGGAAGAGCTTTGCTTTCCAAATAGCTAACAGCAGCCCCAAGTAAGCATACCAATAAAAGTCTTGTGAAGCCAACCCGCTTTCACAATACTCCAGACCAGTGTTTCTCAACCTTGGCAACTTTTAAGATGTGTGGACTTCAACTCTAAGAATTCTCCAGCCAGCCATGCTGGCTGAGGAATTCTGGGAGTTGAAGTCCACACATGTTAAAGTTGCTAAGGTTGAGAAACACTGCTCCAGACTGTCAGCTGGAGAATTACATTGCTTTTGAAATTCAGACTTCCTCAACACCCCTCCTTTTCTCTGGGAGAAGAAATAATTTATGTCCTCTTGAAAGCAACCAGAATTTGGCTACCAAGTCTAGATGAAAGGATAGAAGCAACATTAGTTCTTGATTTAAGATTAGAGTGTAGAATCTGGAAAATTCAGGGGATGCAAGCAGGAAATGTATGCTGCAGTGATCCTTTTTTTTTTTTTTTGAAAAAAATGGTTAAAAGTCTAGCTAGAAATATTGTGTAAGATTACCTTTCATCTGGAATGTATGTTGCTAATTAAAGCTTATTGTCTCAAGTATATATTGTCTCTAGACAAGTTCAAGTTATTGTGTCTTTTTGTGTAACCTGAAACCTGTTTAGAGTTCCTTATACTGTAACTGGAAGCAAACCAGCATTAACTTGTGATCTTCCAAACTTCATTTTCCTATATATTTTTCTACAGATGTTGTAATTCTAATACTTCTTTCACCAGCCATTTCATGTTCTGCATGCAACTACTTCAAAGGAATTTTTATCTTTTATCTTTTTCTTTTTTTAATAAAGCTTGATTCTGTTTATAACGTGTGACATTGAACATCCATCTCCCAAAGGAGTAAGGGTGGAGCCTGATTTCCCTAGTCACACCTCTCAAAAATACAGGGCCAGGAGGTGGCTATATAATTTATTTCACTCTCATCTTTTTTCCTTACTTGCCAGTAAGATGCCCAGCTTGTGGGAGCCCTTATCTCACACATGTCAGAGTTAGGCAGTAGACACCAGGTGAGACAGTCCCCAGGACAAGTGGTGGCAGCAGTAACTCCCAAGCATCTCTGCCAAAGCCGGAAAATGGGGGCAGAGTGTGGAGACACAGAGGGCTTGTGGGAGAGGAGGCTGGAAACCTGCATCCTGTCACCCCTGTTGGCTCAGCCCTGTTGCTACAAAAGGCTTAAACTACAACTACCAGACTTGCCTGCAAAATCCAGATGGCAGAAAGAATTTTTTTTCTAAATCTTAATTCTTTGCTTCTATCTAGAAGATATCCAGATTTTTGCAGTCCAAATCTGCCTGCCCTATTTAAAATTTGCAAACACTTTATGTTAATAAAATAACAACCTATTTGCTCACACAACTGTGCTCTAAGACTACAACTATGCTTGAGAATCTGTTAAGGGTAGCGAATTTATGGCCCAAGCAGCTGACCAGGGCTGCTGGAATTTTAACTTAGCAACATCTGGAAGGCCACTGGTTTCTAATGTTAAAGGACTTGGAAGTTCCTCTATTACCCAGGGACCATTATTTTACTACTGGTTTCTATACATAGCCCAAGAATAGCTAGAAATGAGCTACACTGAGTTCAGCTCAATGCGTGCAAATCTGTTTATAAAAACTCTGATTAATTGACTTTTCTTACTTCTGGATCTTTTCCTATAAGAACCCTCTGAAATCCCATTTCCTGCTGTATTGATGTGCAAGGCTCTGAAGACAAGAATCAAGTATAGAATTTCCTTTTCTCTATGGTGGCCAAAATATGCCAGGTTGTCACAGATAGCGAACATTCCTTACATATGATCAGGAATCCTGACTCTCTCCTCTTAAAGTGCATTTAGCTTCACATCTTCAGGAAGGGAAGAGAACCCAAGATTTGGGTACAAAATCTCCCCTAAGAATACTAATCATGCAAAAATAGCATGATGCTCTATTTTGGCATGAATTGTTCCAAAATTAATCGCACTGATCTCCCAGCATGAATTTCTCTGCAGGTTTGTGCTGCCTGAGAGGATTCCTCCAGGGTAGAGTTAACTTGGTTGGGCCAAGGTGGATGATCCCAAACAACACACACACCGAATACAGAGTACCAGAGGAACCATATTTTATAGGCTTCCCCATCCAAGGACATAGGGAGGTTCTCAAAAGATGCTGCAAGTCCTTCCTGACATCTGGAGGTTTGTATAGGTTCTGGCCTTGTTGGGGGCTGCAAGGTAGATGCCAGTTTGTGGTAGATGGTCTGCATGTTCAGCTATCCCTCTGGTCTTGGTTTCACTTTTGTCCAACTTTTCCTCTTGAGAGCGTGTGCATTTGCCTGTGTTTCTCAGTCTACAACAGAATTCTGCAAGAGAGGCAAGCGCAGTTGAGAGTTTTGGAGCTGGGTTTGAGTGTTTGCCTCCTTTATTATTAGATATTCAAAACACACACACACACACACACACACACACACACATTCTCTTATACAGACCTAAAAAGGAAGTAAGAATAAAGAACAAATATAAAGTAATAAAATACAAAATATTTTTGTATGAATCATTCTCCAAAACTGTTGGGCTTTATAACACTGCGATCAAATATGAATGATCCAACGTGCTTGTTACATTTCCAGTGATTTTTAGAGAATGAATTGTCAATTTTGGCAGTCAGAACTGAAATAACATACTAATGATAAAACATTTTGCCAATTTTCTCTAAATATAATATTCTGAGTAATGTTAATGTCCTTCCATTGAAATTCCCATTGTTGCATCTCTATTACTGCATGCAAGGGCTGGGTTACTTCTAATGACTATAACAGTGTTTCTCAACCTTGGCAACTTGAAGACATGTGGAGTTCAACTCCCAGAATTCCCTAGCCAGCATGGACTATAAAATAAAAGGATCAGGGTCTGCTTCATGTGCTTCTTGCTGCTTTTTTCAAGGCAAAAATAGCTAAGCAGAGCAAAACAAATCCATCTAGATGTGGTAAAAACAGATACTGAGAGCAAATGCCAAATCTTTAACTAATATCTTCTATATCATTCAAACAAATTGGAAAAAATAAATGGCAATGATGGATATCAATTACTGTTGGATGGAAAACAGAACACTTCTTAATAGAGGGGTAAGGAACCTAAAGGCACAGGGCCATGTAAGTCCCAAAAGCATGGGGTGGTCACCAGAGCCTCCCAAAAGTTACCGTACTTATCCGCCTATAACACAGACAGGTGTATAACACGCACCTTAACTTTAAGAAGGAAGTTTGAGTAAAAAAACTTAAATTTAAAATAAATGACTTGGAAGCAAAATAAAGGGAGCTCAGAACTTTGTGTTTATTAATACTTATACCACTTATAAGGTAAATATGTAATATGAAGGAAAAAGCATCTTTTTGAAGGAAGAAAACTGGCGCTCCCCATCGCTCACGTGAGGCCTGAGCTCCGCAGAGCAGGTGAGCGGTGGGTGAGCGAGCGAAAACCGGTGCTCCCCATCTCGCATAAGTGAAAACTGGAGCTCTCCAGCGCTCGCGGGGGTGAAAACTGGTGTTCCCCAGTGCTCACACGAGCGAAAACTGCGCTCCCCAGCGCTTATGCGAGCGCAGGTTTTCACTTGCATGAGTGCTGGGGAGTGCCAGTTTTCGCTCGCTCGCCCGCCTCTCACCTCTGGAGCTGCCCCAGTTACAGCCCTGGTTCAAATGAAGTCTCCGCTCCCCCAGCCCTGCCGCTAGAGTATCGGCGTATAACATACAGCTAGGATTTCAGCCCCAAATTTTAAGGAAAAAAGTGGTGTTATACACTGATAAATATGGCACTTCTGAATTATATAACAGAGAGTAAAATTATTGAGTATATGAATAATAATAATGTGATCCATAGTACTTGATCTGTTTTGTCTTTAAACTAAATTCGAAATCAATTTGTTCTAGGCCAATCTGCTGTTATTTTTGGATTATAGCTCTCCTAATTCTGTACCAAAAGGTGAATTCTGTAGCACACCAACCTGTGTACCTTGTTGTGTACATATTTTTTTACAGCCATTTATTTTGCCCATAGTGAAGGACACTATTCCCTCACTGGAAATCTTCATTTATATGGCTTCCAACATTTTAGTAGACGTTCCTCATTTTTCAAATATATCTTTGCAAACAAAGGGACTAAAAACTTTTCAAAAAGAAAAGAAAACTTAGATTCTCAAGATACTGAATTCTGTGCCTGGCATCCCATTCCATACTTATTTCCTGTATTCCCATGAAAGAACAACACACTATATATCCTTTGCTTACGTAATTCAAACGCACATTGGTTTGTTTTGAAAGGTGGCTCTCTCCTGGCAAAAAAGAACCTTCACTCACAAGAACCCCCAGGTTGGACGGCTTTTTTCCCTCCATCAGCTTCAGCATGGCTTGCAGACCTTCCTCGGGGGGTTGTTCCTTAAAACACTTTCTGCTCAGCAATTTAATGGCTTGCAAGAACTCAATGTAGTTAATGTGGTTGGCCCCCTTGAACCTGCAGGAGACAGAGGGGGGATCAGTTATCCATAGGGTAGGGGGGTTTCTTTTCACCCTAAGCCAGTTTTTCTCAACCTTGGCAGCTTTAAGCTGTGTGGACTTCAGCTCCCAGAATTCCCCAGCCCCATGCTGGCTGGGAAATTCTAGAAGTTGAAGTTCACACAGCTTAAAGCTGTCAGGGTTGAGAAACACTGCCCTAAGCCATGACTCAAGGGTGAGCAACTTATTCTTGCACAGTTCCCATCCCCATCCTTAAAGCTGCCTAAACTTTGAAAAATGGCTGAAGTCAGCTTAAAATGAAACGCATTCTGGGATTTGGGGGAGTTTTAAGAGTAAAAAATGAGAACAATTATCATCCTACAAGCGTCCTGTTTCTTTTGCTACCTTTAAAACCCTAAA